CCTTCTGAGCCAGTGCATTTTAAACATTTCTTTCACTTTATTGCAATTTTAACACCACAAGTCCACCTTCTCGTAGACCATAGGACAAGACGATTTTTAAAACATCCAATATTATGTCTTCAAAACAACACAAAAGAAGAACTTTGTCATTTCTTTACAAATACATTGTGGGGACAAATACAGAAAACGCAGGCAACAGGTAACTGGACAGGTTTTGTGTCTTAGAAGAATTCTCCCTACAGATAGAAAGATAAGACTTTATTGATCCCGAAGGGAAATTGAGGAGAAGATAGATAAACACAGAGAAGTCTCTTTGTTATTGAAGATTTAGATTCGTTTGATATCGGGAAAAGAGCATGGTGAAGAACTGTACAGTTGTTACATACATACATGAATAAATAAAGCCATATCTAACAGTTCTTATCTGTACACTAATTTCTTGACATCCATGGCAAGAGGGTGTGACGTCATCCCCATTCCTGCCGGGAGCTTCCGGCGGTGCAGTTCCTGTTTCTGCGCGCTTTTAGGTACATGGATAGCCGATGTACCCCCATCTTTTAAGTGAACTGTGATTGTTCTTGTGACTATGGGGAGTATAATGAAATAGAATGACTTAAGTACACGAGAATCCCCCGGACAACGCAGGTAGGGATTTATTACAACGTAAAACGCCCGTTTTGCCTGGTCTACTCACCTTTTCACGTCTTAAAAGTATCTACCGGCACCAGCGGGCGTGCGTGCGTCGCTTTTACAGTGCGAACTGTTCTGTCCTTCGCCTTGCAAGGTAACGTATGTTGCAAGAAAGTTTCTAATCTCAAACTCTGGAAAACAAACTTGCTGGGATTGACGAATCTCGGCAAACCTGGATACACCGGGAGCTCTTACAGACACTATTAATACAGTGCAGTCTGGCATTTGGGGAGTAGGCGGCCCCCGACTCCCTCTGGACCAACCAGTAGCAGGCAAAGTGAGAGTGACAGACGCCTTGGCCAATAGCGTTTGAGACAGTTTACGATGGCGTTTACATGATATGTTGAAGCCGCTACAGTACAGCATTTTCAGCATTTAGTGATGCAGCAGATGTTGCCCGGTGCTTACAGAGTGGAGAGCGCTATGCTGTTTTTTGTGCGGCTCAAAACCTTTATTTATCTGTATTCGGGGGGCTTGTTGATTTTAGCAGGTCTTCACCAGACAGAGGCGGCTAGCACAGAAATGGCCAACCTGAACTGGAAGCCGTTCATTTACGGAGGTCTGGCCTCGATCGTCGCGGAGTTTGGTAAGATCTCGACGTGAAATGACAGGGTCTTTCGCACCAGCCGGACTGCAGGATCGCACGATCCCCTTAACTAAACCGCGGCCGTGTGCGCCAGGGATCTTGCTGCGATCATCTTTCCCTTCTCTTTCCCCTTAGCCCCTTTCATGCAGCGAGCGCAGAGAGGAGACTTGATTAGTAAAGACAAGGCAATTACTGTCTCGGAAATCTCAATGCAGACGCGCCGGCAGTGTTAATAATGCTGTTGCGATGGTATTCGAGCTCTCTGGTTTCTGAGTAAGAGTACTGGCCTGTGAGATTCCTGCTGGTCGTCTGGATTAGATGGGAACTCCACCAGGCAGGTTATTGCGTCCTTCTTGCTATAGACCAGCAGGATGATGATCCACCCAAGGTGTGACATAGCTGGTCCAGTTATTTACTCAACATCATAATTGTTAAGTCTTCTAACCAAGCTTGAAGGTGTTTTATAGGCGACTGTATTTTTACTGAATAGCATTCTTTCAGTAATCAACTCCAAAAGACCTTAAGAAGAACCCTTCATACGTCTAATTGGGGGGAAAAAAACAATTAGGCTAATTGTTTAATTGACGGCCTGGGTTGGACAACAAACCAGAAGAAGCCTGCCCCTCCAGGAATGGAGTTTGGCACCCCTGCTGTGCAGTTTAGGAGCCCAACCCAAGTCTTTGAGGGGTGTGAAAACAGCAGGTGATCTAGGCCGTGTTCAATCTCGTGGGAGTGTGGAACAGGCTGTCCAGCCAGCCTGTTGTGGAAGCCAGTTCCCAGGTTCCTTGCAGGAAGCAGCTGGATGAGATCCCTAGACCAATTGAGAATCCGCGTCCAGTCCAGCTCGGTGGGCCGGATGGCCTCCTCTTCGTTTGTCACGTCTTCTCGTGTTGTTGGCCATGGCTGGGCTGATGCAAACGGTGTTAAACTGGCCCCGCGGCTCTAACGGTGGTCTCGATGAAGTCGTTAAGGGCCAAGGTGGAACGAGAGCGTGGAGTCGCTTCGTCCCTCCAGGGCGGGGGGTGTGCACTGCTGCTGGGGGGTAATCCTGGCGCAGTAATACTGTACATTTACCTGGGATTTAACTAGTCTGAGGAGTGTGTGAGCTCTAGCTGGAAGTGTTACAGAGCCAGCATTCACACAGTCAGTAAACAGGATAAGAGGGCACGAGTAGAAACCATGTGGAACAGCATTTAAAACTGCGAACCCGAGACTCTTCTTTACACAAAGGGCGGTGGGAGTATGGAACCGATTAGCCAACCATGTCGTTGAGGCCGATATCCTTGCTTCTTTCAAAAAAACGACTGGATGAGAGCTTTAGGTCAATTAAGTGCTCGCTACCCTACGAGCTACATGGGGAGAATGCCCACCTCTCATTGCATTTGGGCCTGTTCCTGACCTCTTGCTGTTCCCGCTCCAGGTGGTTGAAGTGTAGTGCTCTGTTGCGGCCGGGTTATCTCATGTGTGTGCCACAGACCTGCTGCCACAGCAGCAAGCGAGAGCCACTGGCCAGGGAAATAAGACCCCCCGCTGCATGGCGTTTCAAGCCACGTCAGGATTCGCCCGATCTGGGCACCTGACTCGGCCGTTGCTGCTGCTCTGCTCCGATGGTTTGATGGATCGGCCGGTGGCGGGTTGGGTTTTTCAGGCACCTTCCCGATCGACCTGACGAAGACGCGGCTGCAGGTGCAGGGTCAGAGCCACTACCCCGAGGTGCGCTACAGGGGCATGTTCCACGCCCTGCTGAGGATCGGGCGCGAGGAGGGCGTGCGCACGCTCTACTCCGGGTGAGTGTCCGGGCTCGGCATGGGCAAGTTGGAGAAAACTGCTGAGAGCTCCTCGGACTGCACGGAGATCAGATCAGTCAATACGCAAGGCAGCCCACTGGAGCTCAGCGGGTGTGAGCCTGGCCAGTACCTGGATGGGAGACCTCCTGGGAAAAACTAAGGTTGCTGCTGGAAGAGGTGTTAGTGGGGCCAGCAGAGGGCGCTCACCCTGCGGTCCATGTGGATCCTAATGCCCCAGTATAGTGACGGGGACACTATACTGTAAACAGGCGCCGTCCTTCAGATGAGATGTAAAACCGAGGTCCTGACTCTCTGTGGTCATGGCGTTTCTCGAAAAGAGTAGGGGTGTAACCCCGGCATCCTGGCCAAATTTCCCATTGGCCCTTACCAATCATGGCCTCCTAATAATCCCCATCTCTGAACTGGCTACATTACTCTGCTCTCCTCCCCACTGAGAGCTGGTGTGTGGGGAGTGTTCTGGCGCACTATGGCTGCCGTCGCATCATCCAGGTGGATGCTGCACATTGGTGGTGGTGGAGGGGAGTCCCCCTTACCTGTAAAGCGCTTTGAGTGGAGTGTCCAGGAAAGCGCTATATAAGTGTAAGCAATTATAATAATTATTATTATAAATAAACACAGATTGTTCACTGGAAGGATTGATAGTAAAAGTAAACCTCAGATACTTTGGCCATGTAACGCGAAGACAGGATGCACTGGAGAAGACTGATGCTGGGAAAGATTGAAGGGAGAAGGGGAGGGGGGAGGGGGGCGGCAGAGGTTAAGATGGATAGATAGTATTCCTGAAGAAATGAATCTGAATTTGCAAGAGCTCAGAGAAGCAGTTGTTGACAGACAGGCTTGGCATGCCAAGGTCCCTGAGGTCACGAAGAGTCTGACTAGACTAAACAACTAAACACGCACGCACGCACGCACACACACACACACACACCTGTGTAGTGCGTGTGCTTTAGGTCTGCCGACTGGGCTGTGTTTATTACACCAGGCCTGTTTCCCCTTCTGTCTGAATGAGTTTCCAGCGTTATCGAAGGGGCAGATTTCTCTGTGCGTGCTCGCCTGGGGCGGGGCCGAGCCTGACTGGGTGGTTTCGTTGTCGTCCCTTTTCAGGATTTCTCCCGCTCTCCTGCGCCAGGCGTCGTATGGCACCATCAAGATCGGCACTTACCAGACCCTGAAGAGATTGTTCGTGACCCGTCCCGAAGGTTTGTCTTGATTTAAAAACAAATTGCAAGCGCACCAAACTTTTTTTCCCGGGGGGTGGATGGGTGGGTGGGTAGGTTTTTATTTGTTTTCCCGCTTCTAGAAATGTTGCCAAAGGCGTCGCGCCACGGATTTCCGGGGGGTGTTCCTGAAGCTTTGTGAACTGACAGTCTGAATCCCTGAGCGCGCAGGCGGGTCGCAGGGTTTAGACCGAAGCCAGGAATGTGTTGGGCTCCCATTCCCTCGGATTCGACAGACAGGAGAGAGCTCCGCCTGATTCACCCGCCTAGTACAACACTGCAGCTATAAATAGGGGTAGTAAAAGAGGAGTATTTTTAGTGTACTAGTTCACTTGTTGTGATGAAATCCTCCTGAAAGCTATAATCAAAGAATCAGGCAATTATTTCCACTGTGCAGTTCTTAAGTTCGCTAAACTCAAAACTTATTAAACACAATAGTCCCTGTGAAATGCATCTTTTTCAAAAATGTAAATTGTTTAAAACGTCTGTGCCTGCGTGGAAATGTTCATGTATCTTGAATGGCTCACAGTGGATTATCGGGGGGGTGTTAATTATAGTCTTCTCACAGAATAACAAAAGGAAACTTTCTATTTTTTTTTTTTCCGTAATAATGTTGTGCAGCTGAGTTCTGACCTTTCCTCCCTCCCACATCTCATTTTAAGTGCGGTATCATTCCCAGATCCCCGATTCACGAACCGGGCCGTAAAAGTTGTCCCAGGGTAGCCAAGTCAGGAGTCCTGGTCCTGCACAGCTGTCCGTGTCTGTCTCGCACTTGGCTTGCAGTCACTGTTGCTTAGCAACCCAGAGACTTCAGCATCAGCACATAGCAGAGCTTTGCTGGAGCTGGGAGAAGGGGGGAATCGGAGGGGAATTGGGAGCAAAATATTTTTTTTTGCATGAAGAAAAATAATGTGTGTCCATTCCGGTAAACAGGGGTTCAGATAATTCCTGCTGTGTCTGAACCAAACAGGCGCTTGCAGTCAGACACGTCACAGGACGGATTCGGGTCAGGTTTCATCACTTTAATAGCTTTGGGGCCTTTTTTCTGCGTTTGGGGATTTCTGATATTTTTAAAGATGTTAAAAATAGGATCTGCTGGAATGCATACAGTAGGTCTTGGTTGCAATGTGTTTCTTTGAAGATTCCTTTCGATTCCTTCTCTTACTTGCTGAAGCAGCCCAAGTGCAGGGCAGATCCCTGTATGAGCCGCGGGGCTTCATAAAGTAGTTCAGCTGCCTCAACTCTCGTGTGGAAACCACCAACTAGAGATGGTCACTGCTTGGTGCGAGTTACTCCTTGTCCATTTTCGGGTGAGATTTGATCCTGCAAATCTCCTTTTACAGATCAGATATTTATTGGTTCTATTTTTGTGCTTTTGTTCTATGTGTTTTGTGTGTGTGTATTTATGCATATAGAAAGGTGAGGAGGCACTCTGTTGTGCAACAATAGAAGGTTTTGCAGGCTGCCAGTAGGTGGCGCTGCCTGCTCTGGTTTCCTGTATTTGTATCCAGCAGCTGTTAACATGAAGCAGACAGCAGCAGGATTATTTGAGCCCCTGTGTATGAATGAATTAAAAAAAAAAAGATGATTCTATTTCTTTTGAACTTTTTTTTTTAAAGACGAGAATGTGATGTTTGCTTCTGCACTCTGCATGCATTGCTGGGATGTGCCAATGTGTGTTGAATGCTTATTTTGATACAGGCTGGGTTTGCCTGGTGGTTGGGGACTGATTGCCCGTCCTCCTGCCAATAAGATCACCGCTTGGACCTCAGTAACTATTGGTCACTCATTGATCAAGGACAACTGTAACTATTGTTCCAAACTTGATCCATTTCCCTCCTGTGTCTCACCTCCTTCTGCTGTAGATTACGGCTCAACTAGCGATAATATCATTTGCTGTCTTAACCACTGCTGTTATAATCATGAGAGGTCAAACCCTTGAGTCCTCGTTTTGTAATGAACACTGTCCTGTTATGCACTGTTTTACAGTTAAATGTTAGTCAGTTGTGCATTGCATAGATGTTAGCCAATCCAAGCGCAGTACGAATTTGACATTTGTCTCTTTTTCAAAGGGATAATCCCCTTATTTCCTCTTTCTTTGTTTCCTCACCGTCAGTAATTCTGTAGTTCAATGGCAGATGCTACTCAGGATACTGCATGGTTTTGTTTTAGAGATTTTTCTAACGAGTAATTTAGACTGAAGGATGTTTGCAGTATATGCCTGATATGTTTGTACTGTATGTTTCTTTTCCTTTTTCTCTGTGCGAGTGTCTTTGGGAGTGCGGGATCTGACTGTGTCAACCCCTCTGGTGTTTGCAGATGAGACGATGGTGATTAACGTGTTCTGCGGAGTGATTGCCGGAGTTATATCGTCCTCTATAGCCAACCCCACAGATGTGCTCAAGGTAATGGCGTTTCGCAAGGGCTTAAAAAGAGAAATAGTGAGAGACAGCACCCCCTTGAGGGATGGAGGATTTCCTTGTGGCGTTTCCAGCATGTGACTTTATGCTGCCTTTTGCATCCATTTATCCACTATCTGTAATCGCTTGATGGGGTCTGTCCTGGCAGTGGTGGGGCACAACTTAACACATCGTCAGGATGAGACACACACACACACACAAAAACAACCCCACACACACACACACACACAAAAACAACCCCACACACACACACAC